CAAACTGTGCAGCTCTGCAACTGCATCCTGGCCCATCCTCACCCTTCTGCCCCCAACCCTCACCTCCTTGTACCCCCAATATGTTTTTCCCAATAAAAAAAATATTTAAAGAAAAAAAAAGTGCTGAATTTTAATCATTGGAACTATAAATGTGTACTTGTTTGAAAATAAGGTTATTCCTCTATTCTCGGTTAAGAAGTCTTACTAACTCAGAGAAACTAAGAAAGCCTGTACAGGAAATTCAACTTCAGTTTTAGAAATAATAAAAATCTTGGAACATTAAGTGTTCATCAACTGGAAAATAACAAACAAAACAGTGTTTCCCAAATGTGAGGCAGACAGTAGATGACAGAGCTAATTTCCACTGGTATGTTGTTAAGTGCCTGTGACTCATAGCAGCACCCTTACCCTATCCTGAGCCAGTCTCGCTATCTCCGACATACCTATCCCCATTACCACAGTTGCTATGTTAACCCATCTCACCCAGGGTCTTCCTCTCCAGGGCTGTCCCTCCACCCTTCTAAGTATGATGTCACTCTCCAAGAACTAGTCCCTCCTGGTAACATGCCTAAAATATATGAGGTAGAGCTTCAAAATCCTTGCCTCCAAGGAGTAGCTTGGTTTCATCCTCTCTAAGACAAATATGTTTGTTCTCTTGGCAGTCCATGGTATATTCAATACTCTTCTCCAGCACCACAACTCAAAGGCTTCAATATTTCTTCTGTCATCCTTACTCACTGTCCAGCTCTCTGATGCACAGCAAATAAACGTGAAGACTCTAGCCTGAATCAGGCACACTTTAGTCTCCAGGATGGCATTATTGTTCTTTAGCACTTTGAAGAGGTCCCTTACAGCAGACTTGCCCAATACAATTCATCTTTTGATTTCCTGACTGCTGGTGCCATGAGTGTTGATTGTGGAGTTAAGCAAGCGGAAATTGTTAACAACTTCAATCTCTTCTCCATCCATCATGAAGGTGCTAACTGGCCAAGTGGTGAGATTTTTTTGTCTTTTTGATACTGAGCTTCAATCCACACTGCAGAGTACAGTCACTGGCCTTCTGCAGCAAATATTTCAGGTCCTCTTCAGTTTCAGCAAGCAAGGTTGTGTCTGTGTTAACACAGGTTGTTGATGTTTCTTCCTCCTATCGTGATGCAAATGTCAATCCTGACATTCCTCACAAAGTCCAGCTTTCTGAATGATCTGTTCCGCATATAAATTGAAAAGGTATGGAGTCCAGAAGCACCCCGAGCTACTCCTTTCCTGATTTTGAACCATGCAGTGTTTCCTTGCTCTGTTCTGATGAATGTTTCCTGGTCCAAGTATACGTTTTGCATGAGCACAGTCAAGTGTTCTGGGATTCCCATTCTTCTCAAGGTTAGCTATGATACATTTTCTTCTCTCCAAGTTCACACTTTCACTGAGAAGGTACTCAGCTTAACTCAGGTTTTATCAAAGGATCTGTTTTATCAAGTGCATCAAGCTAACCAAAAGCCCGATCCTATAACCCAAGATCCTTGGTTGTTGCTGCTAGGTGCCATTGAGTCAAAGAACACAACAGACCCTAGGCCTCCACAATCCTCAATCATTGCTACCCTTGGGTCCACTGCTACTGCCACTGTGTCAATCCACTTCACTGGTCTTCCTTTTTTTCCTGACCTTCTAGTTTACCATGCACCAACTCTTTCTAGGGACTGGTTCCTCCTGAAAACCCATTCAAAGTAAGACAAAGAACCTCATTTCTGAGGAGCCCTCAGGGAGTATTACTTCTAAGATAGATCTGATCACTCTTCTGGAAATTCATGATATATTCCATATTCTTCACCAACACCAAAATTCAGATGTACCAATTTAATTTGTTGTTGTCTTGAGTGTTGTGATTAGGTGCCATCAAGTCAGTATGACTCACAGTGACTCTATGAACAGATCTGAACCATGCTCTATTCTGCACTAGCATCATGATCTCTGTCACACTCAAGCCTATTGTAGTAAAGACTCTGCAATCCATCTTGATGTTAGTCTTCCTTTGCTTCGCTGATTAGGGGCATTTTATTCTTTAAACTGACAATGTTGCTCTTTAGCACTTTGGAGAAGTCCTTAAGAGCAGATTTTCCCAATGAAACACATCTGAATTTCATGACTGCTGGTAACATGCATACAAGTGACTGAAAATACCAAGGTTTGCCTCAGGCACATCTTTGTCCTTAAAGTATCAAATATCTTTTGCTTTTGAACACTTGTACACTTGTGCTTTAGAAATTAAGTATGGGGGTGGGGAATAAAAAAAAATTAAGTATGAAAGAGAGAGCTTAGTTATATTAAAACAGATCTGCTCAGAATTCACTCAGGAGCTCTCTGATGGCACCAACCCAAAGGAAGCTGCACTGCTAACCCAAAGGCCAGACCTCTCTGGTGGTTCAAATCCATCAGTATCCTCTCATGTGAGTTACATTCTTGGAAACCCAATGGAGTGCCGGCTATGAGTCTGCTCCAATTGGATGGCACTGAGTTGGAGCTTTTTGTAGCAAATGTGCTCAAGGGAGCATGCTGTTTTAATTTCCTGAACGCTGCTTCTTTGGGCATTGATTGTGGATCCAGGCAAAATGAAATCCGTGACAATTTCAATATTTTCTGTTTTTATCTTGCTGTTATTGGTCCAGTTGTTAAGAATTTTTCTTTTATACTGAGCTGTAATTTTATGAACAATTTCAACAAGCAACATTGTGTTATCTACATATGGCAGGTTATTAATTCATTCAGACAGAATGCAGTAAATGAATTAGGAAAATACAGAATCATTCAGTAGTTTATTATGTAATACTATGCAGATGCTTAAATATCATCATGGAAAAAATCTCCAAAATATTGCTAAGTGAAACGAAAGTAAATAATAAGGCAATATATAACATGTAATTATAGTTTATTTTAAAAAACTATTTAAAAAACTAAAATCCTTCACGTCAGAATTCTCCCTCTAATAACTCTATGCATACTTGGCCAGATGCAGTTAAAAGTTTACAGGGCTTATGTGCCCAGTGACACTCTTTGGTCATCCTTGCAGACAAGATATTCATGATTTTTCCATCATCACCTCATTCAAGCTTATTTCTACAGCCTTAGAATACTTACTGGTGGAAGGAATGAGGATCATCCACATCATGGCCATCTGGGGCTAAAGGGTTGGAGAATGGCTCGCCTAGGAAAAATATTTGCATTAATATAACCAGTCTCACATGTATCGTGCCCTATGCAAACCCTTGGGATATAAGAGAGAATGATGCAGACGTGTTTCCCTGTTCTCAAGAATTCCATAATCTAGTTAAGAAATAAACGCGTGAATTGCAACTGTAGCAACACAATTTAATACTGTTGAGATCGACAACGAAGCTGTGGGAACACAACCCTCTATCAGCGAAGACTTCCAGAACAGAACACTGAAAAGACCATGTGCGAAATGAAAAGGCGCAATTCAGGATTAAGTGACTGGGGTGGGGGTTTCTTATGCTCATTCTTAAACTCGGGGACAAGTCTTAAAATGTACGGCCTCACTCCGGACCTGACAGCTTCGCTGACCGAACCTCGCATTCCCAGAAAACCCTCTGCTTAAGCTCTGAAGCCAAAGTAGCACGTCTAATTTCCCAGCACCTTCAGGAGAGAAAGATTTTAAAAATCGAGCCTTACTGTCTCGCTCCGGCATTTTGTCTGCGGTAGTTCAACGCCAACACAAACTGAGACAGAAACGACAACACAGTAACCCTAAGCTTCTACCCACAATGCTCCTGACTAGGCAGACCGACCACAATGCTTTGCGATCTGCGGCCTTTCCGTTTCCAGACTTTCCCCTTGCGTCATCGCTATAGCAACGCGAATGCTTGACGAAAAACTGGAAGCGCTAATACAAGCCCTAGAATCTCATTGGCTAGACTTCACAACTCTCGCTACGTCATACGACCTACCACAGAGGCTTAGGGGCTTCTGTAGTGGAAATGGCGGCGGCCTCTGCAATTCGTGGGAGCCAGGTAAAACTAGCCTTGCGGGAGATCCGCATCCACTTATGTCAACGCTCAGTCGGCAGCCAGGGCGTCAGGTGAGGCGCGGCGTGGTCAGACAGGTGGGCCTTGGAAACCACGGGGTCACGACCTTGCAGGGATGGAGAAACCCCTTTACACAACTCTCCGGGTTCTCTTCGTCCTCGCAGGGACTTCATAGAGAAAAAGTACGTGGAGCTGAAAAAGGCGAATCCTGACCTACCCATCCTAATCCGCGAGTGCTCCGATGTACAACCTAAGCTCTGGGCCCGCTATGGTGAGCATGTCATTCCGGGTATGTGGGACCCCAGTGGGGAAACAAGGGATGGGGGGGGAGCTCAAGGCCACCCAAGAACCAATACAGACATTGGAATTGGATCTCCAGCCTTGTTCTTGACCTTTCCATTGGTGAACTTTCACTCTCTGAATGGTAAGATTTGCATTCTATGCATCTATATAAAGGTGAGTTCGACCCTACCTGAGAACCAGGAGCCGGTTTTGGGCTTTTTTTAATTGAAAATTGGCTTCAGAGAGGTGAAAACTGATAATGATAAATTACCATCAACTTTTTGTTGTTAGGTGCTGTCGAGTACAACTCATAGTGGCCCTTTGAACAACAGTTCTGAACCCTGTTCTATCCTGTGCCATGCTCAGAATCTCTTCACACCCTCAAGCCGATTGCTGCAGTCACTGTGTCAGCCCATCTGGTTGAGGGTGGTCTTCTTTGCTGTCCTTCCACCTTCCGAAGCATGGTGCCCCACTCCAAGGAGTAACCTCTCCTAATAGCATAAGTAAAGTCTTGAGATGAACCTTCATTATCTTTGTCTCCAAGGAGCACTCTGACTGCACCTTCTCCAAGACATAACTGATTGTTCTGATAGTAGTCCATAGGAATATTCAACACTCCTACAAGCACCACAATTCAAAGGCATCAATTCTTCTGTCATCCTTAGTCATTGTCTAGCTTTCAGATGCATAGCAAGTGACTGAAAAGACCATAGTCTGAAACCAGACACACCTTAGTCTTCAAGCTGACATCATTGCTTTTCAAAGCTCGTAATGGTCTCTGACTACAGACTTGCAATGGAGTAAGTCTCCTGATCAGATTGCTAGTTATTATTGTTCTTGTTATATGTCATCGAGTTGCATATGACTCATAGAGGCCCTATTATGTACAACAGCTCTGAACCCTACCCTATCCTGAGCCAGTCTCACTGACTTCAACGTACCTAATGCCATTGCCCCAGGTACTATGTCAGTCCATCTCATCTGGGGTCTTCCTCTCCTGTACTGTCCCTCAGACTTTCTGATAATAATGTCGTACAAGAACTGGTCCCTTTGGGGGGGAGGAGGAGGGCAGGGAGAAAGGGGCAAATGAATTGAAACCGTAAGTTTCTGCAAACTTTCATTAATTTGAAAAAAAGAACTGGTCCCTCCTGGTCATGTGCCCAAAGTACGTGAAATGGAACTTTAAAATCTTTATCTCCAAGGAATATCTTGGTTTCACCCTCTCCAAGACAGACCTGTTTGTTCTCCTGGCTGTCTCATGATATGTTCATTATTCTTCTCCAGCACCACAATTAAAGGTTTCAGTTCTTCTTTCATCTTTAGTCATTGTCCAGCTCTATGATGCATAGCATATAATTGTGAAGACGATGGTGGCATGGATCAGTGCAGTTTGGTCTCTAGACTGATGTTGCTCCTCAGCACTTTGGCGAGGTCCCCAACAGTATACTTTCCCAAGTCATCTTTTGATTTTCTTTTTTTTTTATTTTTTTTTATTATTTATGTGTGTGAGTACCATCAAATCAGATTTGACTGGTACAGGAGGAGATTTTTCCTCCTTCTCCAGCAGAGCATCTGGTGGATTTGAACCGCACACCTGTGGGATTGCAGTGCAGCTTCTTGCCACTAGGCCACCAGAGCTCGCCCATCTTTTGATTTTCTGACTGCTGATAGCAAGAGTGTTAAAGAGCCAACCAAGCTGAAATTGTTAACAACCTCAAGTCTTCTCCGTCCATCATGGTGCTGCCAATTGGCTAAGTGTTGAGAATCTTTGTCTTCTTGATGCTTAGCTTCAGTTCATATTGAAGATAGTCCTTGACCTTCTGTAGCAAATGCTTCAGGTCCTCCTCAGTTTCGTCAAGCAAAGTTGTATTATCTGCATAGCACAGGTTGTTAACGAGTCTTCCTCCAGCCCTGATGCCACATTCCTTATTAAGTACAAAGTGTATTGATTGTGGATCCAAATATGATGAATTTGTTGACAGTTTCAATCTTTTCTCCATTTGGTCTAGTAGCTAGGAGTTTTTTCCCCTTGACATTGAGATGCAATCCATTTTGAAGACTGTAGTCTTTCATCTTCTGCAGCAAGTACTTCAGGTCCTCCTCACTTTCAGCAGACAAAGTTGTGTCATCTACCTAACAAAGGTTAATGAATCTTCCTCCAATCCTGATGCCAACCTTTCCTAATTTTAAACCATGCAGAAGTTCCCTTGCTCTTATTGTACGATAACTTCTTGGTCTAAGTATAGGTTTGCATGAACACAATTAAGTGTTCTGGGACTCCCATTCTTCTCAGTGTTAGCCATAATTTGTTATGATCCACGCAGCCAAATGTCATTGTATTGTCAATAAAACACAAAAAGACATTCTCCTGATATTCTTTGCTTTCAGCTCCGATCCATCTGACATTCACAGTGCTATCCCTGGTGTCATGGCCTCTTCTAATTCCATCTTAGAAATTATGAATTAGAATTGTAGGTCCAGGTACAGTATGAGACTTTGAATAATAGAGGGGGGAAAAAATCTGTGTTGAGCACTTAATATTGAATGCTTAACTGTGGATCTTCATTTAATACAAAGAAATCTATATATTTCCCCCCTCATTGTATAGATTAGAAAACAGTTCAAAATTTGAAGGAACGTACACCTAAACCATAATAGAACATATACCTAAACCATAATAGGACATACACTTAAACCATAATAGAATGGAGCCTTTACAGAGTTGCACTGCTAACTTGAAGGGAAACAGTTCAAATCAAATCATAGTGGAACAAACTCCTATCTGTCCCTCCAGTGAGTTTTTGGAGGCTGTAAATTGCTTATTAGGAGATTGCATATTTTTCTCCCTTGGAGATTCAGACCACCTGCCTTCTGGTTGGAAATGCAATTCCTACTATGCCACCAGAGCTCTTTATTTATTGAATTAGAGGACTTTTAATCACAGCTTTTAACTGCACTTACATTTGACGAGCCTTATGGAGCTCTGTCTATGTATACACAGAGAACTGCAAATTTCAAACTCGATTTAGAATAAACCATGGAACTAGAGATACCATAGCTGATGTCAGATGGATCCTGGCTGAAAGCAAAGAATGCCAGGAGAATGTCTATTTGTGCTTTATTGACTATCTGAAGGCATTTGACTCTGGATCATAGCAACTTACAGCTAACATTGAGAATGGGAGTCCCAAAACACTTAATTGTGTTCATGCAAAACCTATACCCAGACCAAGAAGCTGTTAATGTGAACAGAACAAGGGAACATTGCATGGTTTAAAATTAGGAAAGATGTGTATCAGAGTTGGATCTTTTTCCCATACTACTCAGACTGTATGCTGAACAAATTATTTGAGAAGATGGATTCTATGAAAAAGACTGGCATCAAGATTTGAGGAAGACTCCTCAGCAGCTTTTATTTTGCAGAAGATACAACCTTGCTTGCTGAAAGTGAGGACTTGAAGCACTTGCTATAGAAAATCAAAGACTACAGCCTTCAGTATGGATTGCATCTCAACGTCAAGAACAAAAATTCTCACTCCTTGACCTATAGGCAACATCATGATAGATGGAGAAAAGATTGAAACTGTCAACAAGTTCATCTTACTTGGATCCATAATCAGTACACTTGGTAACAGCCATCAGATGAGGAGACTTAATACACTGGCAAAGTCTGCAGTCAGGGACCTCTATAAATTTTTTTCCCCCCTTCAAATTATTGAGGAACAATGATGTTATTAGTTTGAGGACTATGGTATGCCTTACTCAGGCCATGGTGTTTTAAATCACTTGCTATGCTGCTGAGAGTTGGAAAGTGAATAAGGATGACAGATGAAGAATTGATACCTTTGAGCTATAGTGCTGGAGAAAAATACTGAATGTCCTATAGACCACAAAAAATGGCTTGGAGAAGGTGCAGCCAGGGTCTGCTCCTTGAAGGTAAAGATGATAAATCTTTATCTCACCTACTTTGAGTATCATGCTTGGGAAGGTGGAGGGACAATGAAAAGAGAGGAGGACTTTCAACCAGGTGGATTGACACAGTGACTGCAGCAATGGGCTCAAGTGTATCAGAGATTGTGAGGATGGCACAAAATAGGACAAGATCTGTTGTAGGTTCAGATCTGTTCATAGGGTTGCTATGAGTCATATTTGACAGTATCTAACAAGTAAACTCTGGTGGCTTAGTGATAAGGCATTGCACTGCCAACACAAAAGTACATTGTTCAAATCCCCCAGCTGCTCCGTGGGGTTAAGATAAGATAGACAGTTTCTTCCTATGCTATTGCCTCTGGAAATCTGCTGGAGGGTCAGCTATGGATCAGTTTCAACCCGATGGTACACAGCAGAGCTCTTTGGTGTTGAGGAAGTAGGATGAGTCATATGTAAGGCAGGTTAATTCAGCTAACAATGGACACCTGCTCTAATGGGTGGTGGTGGTGGTGGTGGTGGTGGTTGTAAGTGCCGTCGATCCGTAGACAACTCATAGCGACCCTATGAACGAAAGACCTGAGCACTGTTCATAGTTTCCAGAGGCAAGCCATTTCAGAAGTGGATGCCACTCCTGTTAGAAGAGGAAAAAGGCTCTCCTTCCAAAGGCCAGTAGAGCAGAGGGGCAGACAGTCTTAAGTAACTGTAGTGTATTGTCTAGTTATTATGCTAAACAGGCTATGGGAACCCAGAAAATGGGCATCTAATCAAGACTATGCATATAAAATCAACAGCTCACACTAGTTGATTAAATGCTTGCCCTCCCCAGCCCCAAAAAATCAAATACATTGCTATTGATTCTAAACTTACAGTGATCCTGTAGGATACAGTACAGCTACCCCATGGGGTTTCTAGAATGTCTAAAGCAGCAATCTTTATAGGAACAGACTGCTACAGCTTTCTCCTATGGAGCAGCTTCTGACTTCAAATCACCCACATTGTTAGCAGATGAATGCTTAACCACTGTGTCACCAAGGTTTTTTTTTTTCCTTCTCCCCTGCCAGGGCTCTTTTATAAATGCCTCCCATAGTCCTTAAGCCTACCTGTAGTCCTTCTTGTTATGGCCACCCCAGAATCAGCCAAAATTCCATTTAGACCTGAGTGTTACTGAT